CAAACCGAGCATCAGAATTGGGAAGAAAGGTTATTTAAGTAACTTAAGTGAACGTGGCATGGTTGTTGGTGCCAGACGGTCTGGTCTGAGTATTTCAGAAACTGCTGATCTACTGGGATTTTCACACACAACCATCTCTTTGTTTACAGAGAATGGTCTGAAAAAGAGAAACTGTCCAGTTCTGTGGGCGCAAATGCCTTGTTGATGCCAGAGTTCAGAGGAGAATGGCCAGACTGGTTCAAGCTGATAGAAAGGCAACAGTAACTCAAATAAGCACTCGTTATAACCAATGTATGCAGAAGAGCATCTCTGAACACACAACGCATCCAACCTTGAGGCGGATGGGCTACAGCAGCAGAAGACCACACTGGGTAATTACACACTGGGTGTAATGGTGTGGGGGATAGGTTTTTGGCACACTTTGTGCCCATTAGTACCAATTGAGCATCGTGTCAACACCACAGTCTACCTGAGTATTGTTGCTGACCATGTCCATCCCTTTATGATCACAGAGTACTTCTGATGGCCACCTCCAGCAGGATAATGCATCATGTCTTAAAGCGTAAATCATCTCACATTGCTTTCTTGAACATGACAATGAGTTCACTGTACTCAAATGGCCTCCACAGTCGTGAGATCCTAATCCAACAGAGCACCTTTGGGATGTGGTGGAACGGGAGACTGGCATCATGGATGTGCAGCCGACAAATCTGCAGCAACTGCGTGAGGCTGTCATGTCAATATGGACTAAAATCTATAAGGAATATTTCCAATACCTGGTTGAATCTATGCCACGTAGGATTAAGGCAGTTCAACCCGGTATTTGTAAGTTCTACCTAATAAAGTGGCCGGTGAGTGTATAATAGCCTGTAAACTAAACTTAAGGTAAAAGATATTTGCTAAGGAAGTCTTAAAGGAACATATATATATTTTTAACAATAGGCTCATTACATCTCTCCCCCGGAGTTAAAAATTACCATTTTTTAAACCAATCAGCCAATCTTCGGGTCTAATGGCAGCACTTTTAGCTTAGCTTAGCATAAATCATTGATTTAGATTAGACCATTAGCATCACTCTCAAAAATGATCAAAGAGCTTCCATCATTTTCCTACAGTATGTAAAGCTTGACTCTTCTGAAGCTACATCATGTACTAAGACTGACGGAACAAGAAAAGACGCTATTTCCTAGGCCAATATATACGTCTAAGAACTATATTCTCAACCTTGCATAATAATCAAGGAAATTTGCTGCCATACCATGGCTGCAGCAGTTGCGATGTTATTACAGAGCGGCTGAAAGTAGTTCTGAAGTGTCACTCATAAATGTCTCCATGGTTGCTAGATTTTTAGGGTCTCTGTAATATTATTGCATATGAGAAACACAGTGCACATTTTTACACTTGCCTTTTCAGTTGTATTATTTGTGAAAGAAATCTTTAGATATTCTGTTATACTCTTCCTGTGTTCTGTGGGAAACACCTGCTTCTAAGGACATGACGATGTGTAAATGACAACAGAACGAGTCCTTAAAGACCATAACAGAAAGACTGGATCATGGTGTGTGTGTGTGTGTGTGTGTGTGTGTGTGTGTGTGTGTGTGTGTGTGTGTGTGTATAATAGACAGTGACAGGCCCAGTAAGAATATGTGCCCTAGATTCAGTGTTTTAGATGTTTTGTGTGTGATGTTTTATTAAAGTGAGGTTGGATATGCTGACAGAGACACAACTGGATGCCTGACACTCCTAGAGTCTCTCTCTCGGCCTCTCTTTCTCGCTCAAAGGTCACTCTGTAAAGTGTAAAGTGCCATTTTTTTTTAATAGGTCTTATAATCTTCTAATTTATTAAACAACCGGGAATTGTGTATTTTCTTTTAACTTTTTGGATGAAATAAAACATTTTAATGTATTTATATCTCCGTGGGAACAAGTGAACCCAATAAAAGTTATCGTGTATAGGTTTGACTAACATTTGACCATGTTGTATTTAAATTGATCCCTTTTAAACAATAATTGTATGCTTTCTTTTATATTCATGCCATTTCAGAAATGACCATTCTCCTAACAGTTTTAACTGCAGGTTGTTGTTGTGACAACTATGGACACATAAAATAAATTTTAGCATAAAACGTTGACCTATATCTATTTTACTAAAAAAAAAAAAAAAAAAAAAAGCTTTTATTCAGCCTGTACTGACACAAAAACTAAGAAATAAGCACTAGAATAAGAAATGACAGATCCCAGTCCCGGTTTCCCTATTTTTATGCTATTTGTAGCATCACGATTCATGCACATCTAACTACGACACATTCTGCACCCCTTACTGTGTCACGACTGCTCACTGACATGTCTAGGTCTGTGAATAATAGGTGTTAAACACGTGATGCACGAGTCTGTTCTCTGCCCATTCTGTCATACTGTCAGCCAGGTAGCGCTCGGTGTAATTGCATTACAATACCGTCGATCACGGCACGGGGGCGCTCGAGTCATTCTGATGCAAACTGTGTTAATGCACCTACGGCACTGGATGAGTTTATGCAAGGATCTTTTCTGGGCTCTGTGCTCTATATACTTCAATCTTTACTAACAATCCGTCTACGCTTGTGCGTGTCATATATTGACGTTGCAGGAAAACCTTTCAATCAAACACGCCACTTATATTGGCCTTGATTTCCCAGTCTTCTAAATCAGCGTGGTCACTTGAGTTATTTAATATCTGAAAAACAATGATGGAGTGACTTATGACGGTTATTTATAGTTTTATATGCTTTAGATTTATTAATTAATTCTTTTCTCCTTTTTAAACTTAGTTTGCAGTGCACTGTGATGCTTCAAAACACATTTGGTCAAACCAGAAAAGCATCAACTCGAACTGACAGAAAATCCGATGCCTGTTAAATTATGAATAAAATCTGCACACCGTCGACGGTGAGGGTTATAATAGGGGAGCAGTAAGAGGGAGAGAAATATGCTCACTATTCAGTCCTGTTGACCCGGAATGGGGAGCGACATTGGGATGTTTCGTTTACAATCGTTCCGGGCGCGTGCCTGTGACAATATCGGGTCATTATCTTGATCCGCTGCCAAGTGCAAATCCCGGGAGGCGCGTCTCGTGAGCAGAGGTGCGCTTGACATCACGCGCGCGCATCCCTTATATAGGAGCGCGTGGCGCCGCCTCTTTTCTCCTCCACGGAGAGTAGTCGGTGTGTGCAGTTGTAATCCATCCTAAGTAATTCACTTGCGTGGGGAAGGCGGACCTATAAGGGCGTGAACGCACACAAAAGAGGCACGGGTAACAAAAAAGACACCAGACGGGACCAGCGCGCGAGCAGACTGCTCGGTTTTCATTACTTCAAACACACCGGACTCCGTTGAACCTCAAGATGAGCACCCTGAGACCGTTCGAACCGGGACCTTTAGTGGAGATGATGCGGATGATGGAGATGCACGAGGCGCGCACGGGCAGCGATGCTTGCCGTTACGGTTCCCCGATGGCTTTTGTAGAATGAGAGTTTGGGTAAGCGCGCAGAGATGTCGGTGCCTTTGCTGAAGATCGGTGTGGTGCTCAGCACCATGGCCATGATCACCAACTGGATGTCCCAGACTCTGCCATCACTAGTGGGACTCAACACCACCAAACTGACCGCGGCGCAGGGCGGCTATCCGGACCGGAGTATAGGAGTAAGTCTCCTGGTTTATTTGCACTAAAAATTCTGACCAAAAGTTCAAAAATTAAGCGTTTAATATGCTAAAATCTTTTTTTTTATTATTCGCGCACTTGGGCGCAAGGCAACTCTCCATATCTTCGACATAAAAGGGGGCGTTTGCAGGGTGCGCGCGCTCTGGTAATCAAAACACGCACAGCTTTTACTGATTGTATTATTTCCTTTTTATTGTTTTTTCTTTAAATTTCGAATGCCTTTGCTCACACCTCTTGCGCGTTCATTTCACAGACGTTCTGATGTCATGGAATTTCGAACATCTCATAAAATATCCTTTTTTTCCCCAGTATGAGCTTTCTAATTCGCCCTACTAAATACAACTATTTTATTAAACCAACACTGCTGTTGTGTAAAAGTGAATATGCCATCAAGAGCATTGCGTGATTTGGGATTTCACTGTAGGATGAGACGGGGAGTAGCGCAATGAAGGATCAAAGAGTAAAGAGCTTAAAAAAAAAGAGAAAGTTAAACATGATTACGTCACGCTTTACTACCGTTTCTGTTTGCGCACATTCTTTAAAAACCCCTTAACAGAACACATAAATCACCAACACTTTAATATTATGTGCTTATTTTACGCAATTCGATGTCTTTTAATGTAAAATTTTAATATATACACCTCCAAAACTGTACAAAGCACTGGGGCGAATCCTTAGTGTACAAAATCTAAAAAGTACATATTTGTGCAGTATTAATTCGAAAATTGTAGCTTATTAGTTCCAAAGGTGTATAAATTAGTACATTTTAGCTTTTGTAACCAAAAGCAGCATCCCTGAAACAAGTTTGTACCTTTTATCCGAGAGTGTACAAAGCATTAACAAAAGGATTTTCATGGGTCCAGATTAAAAATGGAATATAACAGCAACAAACTGCAAAGCAGACCGAATGAAAATCTGTTTGCAGTGTTGTAATATTCCATAAGTACAGCATTGGTTTGGAGACTGTGGAGATTTAGGACTCTCCAGCGGATGTTCATCAATCCTCCATCTGTTCTTCACTCTCAGACAGACTGATTGGATCTGTAAGTCAAGAATGCCACACAGCTGAACGGGACCAGACCCTCTCTGTCTAACAGCTGCCGATCAAACGCAACAATACATCTGTTTGCTTAAATGAAGCTGAGAGTCATCTATCTGCTAGTAGAAGTCATCCTGCTGCGCTTTGATTGGCGGACAGGGATGTGGGTGTGGCCTGAAGCAGATGGGGTTTTGTGTAATCTTGTGTCATGTGTTTATAGTGAAGCTCTGAATGCTGTAATGTTTTCTGTTTGTCCTCTGCCAGGTTTTACCCGCTAACCCAGAGGAGTCCTGGCAAGTGTACAGCTCGGCTCAGGACAGCGAGGGCAGATGTGTGTGTACAGTCGTGGCACCTCAGCAGACCATGTGCTCGAGAGATGCCCGCACCAAACAACTGCGCCAACTACTGGAGAAGGTGAACTGCTGACCTGCAGCGCTCTAGTGGTTTGCCCTTGGGCATCATTTGATCTCTAATGCACTGTACGGTTGCCGCAGACGACCAGAGTTTTCCTCCAGAGATTAAAGTGACCCAGAGGCAACTCGCATTATCGTTCACATACAAACAGGGAGAGTTAATTAGTTCCTCTGGAGCAGGACGGGTGCTGAAGAAAACAGCTTTCCCTCTGATAGACAATGATGCAATTCCGCGAACACATCAGATCATTAGCAGATCTGGAAAAGCTGAAGCACTGACTAGTTTTCTGAAAGTCACTAGAATTGTATGTACAGAAATAGTAACACAAATATGTATATATATATATATATATATATATATATATATATATATATATATATATATATATATATATATATATATATATATATATATATATTTATTTATATATGTGTGTGTGTGTGTGAGCAATATCACACTCGTAGAACTGCGATAAGGCTGTATATCAGGACTTGTCGGAGGCATGCATTGTCTTAGAGTCCCAGCAATGATGATATACAGACATATCGCACTGCTACAAGCGAGATATTGCGTTTATACAACAATTCGACGGCATAATCATATGTATAAAACAGAAAATCAAACGAGGGAGTCTAAAAATCCTTTTGTGTGAGGAACTACTTTCTTCCGCCGTTCATTCGCATATGCAGCTGACGTCAGAACAGCAGAAAAAGTTGCAACTTTACCAACATCACTTTAGAGCTAGTGTGTGAATGATTCTCTAGCATAATGTCTAATGTGATGACAAAACAGGAGATTTTGCTCACATTTTAAGATAATCGGGCTGAACAGGATGAAATTCCATCAGTCTAAAGAATCTTCCCAGCACGTCTCTGTTGCAATCGTGAAATCACAACAATTACCCTAAAAAAAAAACAAAGCAAAGCAAACACTACCAGATTACTATGGAATAAATACAGCACTACAACATACAAAAGAGAGAGATCGACTTAGAAAGTCATTTACCTGTTTAATAATGATTTGATCAGCTGTAGTTTAAAATTATGCCTAGTTTTTCACCTCTAAGGACTTATTATGCGGTCTCTGTCGCCATCTTGTGGTAGAACGTCAGCCATCTTTGCTCTGCTCAGTATGACATGCTGCCGACGCGCTGTCTCTTAAAAAATTATAAATATTTTTAAAACGGGCACTATCCTTAAAAATAAACTGCATAGTTGAAATCTAAACAACTACATTCTCCACTAAAAAGCCGCAAAATTATATTATGTTGCCCAACAGCAGCAACATTTCTTAAACTGTAGTGAGTTTATTGATTTGCTGTCACTTTATTTGAGTAGAGTAATAGAGAAAGGTGAGGAGGCTGTAACAGAGCTGTCATTGCAGAATATCACACAGCTGTGTGTGTGTGTGTGTATTATATGTTATCAAATTTACTTGGTGAATTAAATATTTTTAAAAAGTTAAAATAAACTACATAATAATAATAATGATGATGATGATTTTTTTTATTTAAATGCAAACTTTGTTTTAAAATAAAATACTAATAATTTCAAATGAAATAGTCAATATTGTGTGAAAAATCTCATGAATTGTTATACACAATTGTTTAGTATACTTATCAGCCTAATAACATAGTAGCTTACAAAATAATACAATTATAATATACATATTTATTTTAAATCTGTAAGCAAACAAATTATTTTGCATAAATAAATAACAATAAAAACAATATTTTGACAAAATTCATCCAAACAGAGAAATAAAAACTATTTAGCAAACAAAAACAAAAACAAAAAACCCCACAAAAGTATTATTATTGTGTTTAATTAATTCTTTGAGGCCCCTAACCAATACATTTCAGTAAATAACAATAGAAAATGCTATTTTATTTTGTTCAGTGGATAACATATTATAGAAAATAATATTTTATATATAAAAAATTATTACATACAATTGTGTAGTACTATTATATATACTTATCAGCCTAATAACATATTAGCTAACAAATATAATTATTTTAATAATAATTAAAATTTTTTACAAAATGTGTAGGCAAACTAAATATTTTGCATAATTAAACAACAATAAAACAACAATAATGTGGCAAAATTCTTAACAGAGAAATAAAATTACTATTTAGCAAAAATGATCACAAAATTATTTATTATTATTATTATTATTATTATTATTATTATTATTATTATTATAACAGTTGTGGCATTTAATTATCAAATTTCAGTAAAAAAATAGAAATAGAAATTTTATTCTGTTTAAAGTGGATAAGACATAATATTTTCACATACAATTTTTTTTGTGAAAATTATCATGAATTATTATTATGTACATATATTTATTAAACAATAGATATAATTGTCTATTATTATTATATATACTTATCAGCCTAATTAGAAATTAGATTACAAAATAATGATAATAATATTATATTTGTTTTACAAAATGTGTCGGCAAACTAATTGTTTTGATAATCAACAATAAAACCAACATTCTGACAAAATTCATGCAAACAGAAAAATGAAATTAATATTTAGCAAACATGATCACACAATTATTATTATTATTATTATGATTAATTGATTATTTGTGGCACCTAATCAAAAGTGAGCACTTAGTAATAAAAAATATAACATTTCTTTATGTACTAAACTCATTGTATTCCCTGGTACCTTCTATATGTGCTTTTAGGTGCAAAACATGACGCAATCAATCCAAGTATTGGACCAGCGGACCCAGAGGGACCTGCAGTACGTGGTAAAGATGGAGGATCAACTCCGTGGCCTGGAGACCAAATTCAGACAGGTGGAAGAGAACCACAAACAAAACATCGCCAAGCAATACAAGGTAAACACCCACAATGCGCACCTCAGGCCATATGGATGCAACACACGCACAATAACACACCCCAGACTGCATGTATCTTATAAATCCTTGTGTGCTTTTAGCGAAATATGCAGACCTGTGCGATATAAAGCATTGTTTTTGACCTTAAAATCAGCTAAATATTTTCAGGATCTGCAGATTTCAGTTTCCACACTTGACACATGCATGAAATGTGATTTTGTTTGCACTCTGTAACACAAGTGAGTGTGCATGTGAGTACGTGAGTCTCTGTGTGTGACTGCCAATGTGTTAGCTAGTTAGCGAGTTAGCTCCCTGTGCTGAGTGTGTTGTTTCTTGCTTGCAGGGCTAACTATAAAGACATGATAGGAGAGCCAGAGGCCAGAAGAAGCAGGTCTAACCCACGATTGGCTGAAGTGGGCGTCAGTCACGCTGTTTATGTCACGATTCTCATATTCTATACGACATTAGCTGTAAGAAACACCCTCCCCCCCTTTCCTTACCAACCACCAATCAGATCTCCTCCTGCATGCTACTCTAAAGAATTATTATTGTTACGTTTTATTTATATGAACTACATTATTAAGTTCCATTGATATATATTGCTATTATTATTATTATTAGTATTTCTACCATTATTATTCTCATCTTTGCTAGTATTGCTTAAGTTTTTTTTATGATTTGTCACTATGAATCTCATGTTTTTGAAGTAATATGCGTTTACTTTGGAAGTCAAGAATTCAATCTTAACATCACATTGTTGTATGTGAGTTGTAATTTCAGCATGTGTCCCTTTCTGCTGTTGCATTCTAAACGATAAACTAATAAAGTCTTTTCCCAATTGTTTACCGTGTTCAGAGCGCTTCATTTTCGCCGATAAATGTCTGGAGATACTGTAGATTACATATATACGGATCTCAGTAGTCACTGCATCTTGGCCTCTGGTCTCTCACTGGCTCTACAAGCACACACACACACACACACACACACACATCAAACACACAAATATAAATGAATGATTACATATAGGCGTCTTTAATTAATTATTAAAGCACCTCAGCTATACATAGTAATCATTTTGATTATTTAATAATAATTTCTTGAGGTGTTTTATGAATTTCTACAAATATTTGCTTTGTATTAAAGGTTTTTCAGATCATCATATTGGCACTATTTGTTGAAAAAGATGCCAAAAGTATGTGGACACCTAGTTATATAAATATTTTTGATCAAAAACAGTTTAATTATTGACTACAAATGATACAATCTGCTTACCCTTTAAAAAGGAAACTACACAAAAGCACAGAGCAAGTATTATGGATAAAAAACATTTAACTGCACTTTATATATCAGACCCCCTAGTTTTTAACAATTTTTTTAGTGATTATTTAGCATTTAAATTACGATTTTTCCAGGATTGAGGACTCTTTGTTGATTTTGCGTTGCGTTCAGCGATCACGGAATCGTGAAAAACTAGGATGTCTAATATGTACTTTCATTATGCCATAATATTGTATTTAAATGATCATATACTGCTGAATCTACTGACAGAAAGATACACTAAAATACACGTCCATGTTATTTCTAACATATGACTTGAATGTTATGTTAAAATACATTTGTAATGATAACACAATGCTATGTTAAAAGTAATATCAACACACTACAGTTAACTAGAAACAAGTGCTTTAGTACAGGGGTTCTCAACTGGTTTAGCCACATTTGGTGGGACCCACATTTTTACATGGTCATCAAGTCGTGACCCAAATTTTTAGAAACTATAATTCAATATTAGGATTTATAATTAATTTGTATGTATTTGTTAACATAAACAAGTAGTGACAGATACATCATAAGAAATTCACCAAGACTTACAAATAAACAATATTTTATTGCTGTCTTTTAACAAAATGGATCAAATTATAGAAATATTACAAAGTAAACTCGACAAATACAGTTAACAATAAACAGTTAATAAAACATGTGTTCTGGTTTCTAAATGTTGTTTTAATTTAGAAGGTTTCATGCTCTCTTATGAGAGCACCTCACTACATATCACACTGAGGCTTTAAGTCTTTTTTTGTCGTCAATATATATATATTCATATTTAATATATTCGGGGTCGTACTTATGATTCGACAACTTTGTTGCAACAATTACATGAAATTTACATGTCAAACTTCAGGGTTGTCGCGCACGCATTACAAAATAAAAGTCCGGTATAAGCAAAATAAGTACAAATTTGTAAAAATTTTTTTGACCTCACACTCCGCGACCCACTGTCGCGAAACACTGCTTTAGTATGTCAGTCAACATCCAAATCTTTTGTAAGTGTACTTTAAAGCACAACAAAGGCATTAAAACAAGGATTTAAATGTACTTTAAAGTAAAACCTACTGTACTTACTAGATGTCAATCCAAGTGTTTGGATAGTTGAAAAAATATATATATATACTTTTGGGTTTTGAAATACACTACAGGTCAATATGCAATAAAATCCAGCACAATATTAAAAGGGTAAAAAGAAGCATTTGTATTAGCGTTACAGGGAATGTTGTTTTCCTTTTTCTTCGGCGAGGTTCATAAAATGATTATTCAAGTCATCTGCTGTGAAAAAACTTTACTGACCTGCACAAAGAAGACCTTTTGCGACCTTTTGAGGTTTTGCGATCACCCAACAGCAACGTGACCTCAGGAGCAAATCACTGACTTTACACCCGACCTCCTTTCCAGATGAGCAGAAACTGCTTTACGGAAGCAAAAAAAATATAATAAAACAATAATCATTATCATTAATATTATTATATTAAAGCAGGATTTTTATCATTTCCTATAAATAATAAATATTAAATACTTTTTTAATAAATAGCCTCATTATTTATTCATTTATTGATATGATTTAAATATGATATTAGAATATGTGTTAGCTTTTGTAAGTGGTTTTATGTTTATTATAGACTATGGAATATTCTCAATAATATTTGTAAAGGAAACACAGACCCTATATGTGCCATTTACATATATTTCAAATAATATAGAAAGCGAGTGCATGTTTTTAATAAAGCTGACGTCGGATTCTATTTTAAATGCGTGTGCGTGTAAAACAATAAAATTTGCAGAAGATGTTAAGGGTTCTTCTCTAAAGAAGTAGTACCTCCCCCCTGTTTAGAGCGTCATTTTGGGCGTTTTACGTTATAACTAACGTGGTTCAAACAATGGATCTCCAACAGAGAAAAACTGTGTTTTGGGAAACACTTGTCACGTTTTTTTTTTCCCAAATGATGCATCGTACTTTAATAGTTCAGTCGCGAGTTACGTTGTTGTTTGGAAAACGCACCCTGACTAGTTCACTTGAATCAGCGAAAATAAAAGCAGAGAGTTACATTTACAGCCCATTCAGTAAATCTGACAGATAAAAATAATCTGTTAGTAAAATCTTATGATTTGAAAAGATTAATTTTGATTTTTTAAAGTGGAACTTTCTCAAGCCAGCAATGCATGAGACTCATTAGGAACAAGGATAAAAGCAGCTATAGACTGATTTCACGCGGCCACCATTTTCAAAAGCGAAATCGAGGCTGCGGTGGGAAGAAACCCGGCAGTATCATTGGGAGTTACATAGGAATGTTGTGTAGCTGGCTGTATATCTTATCAGCGAAGATAAAGTGACACAAAATTTATAATTTCTCCACCTTCCGGGTGAGCCGAAGGTCCGTTCTGAATAAATGGTGAATGTAAAAAGGGATATCAGAGCTCATTTTCAGCTAAGTTAAGGGAAATGGCACTAGTTACAGTAGCTAACGTTTTCTTTCCCAAACACACGTTTTAGATGCCATTTATCAAACTCGAGTTAATAAACTGATTGTTTCACTATATTAGACTTGTCACGATACTGAATTAAAAGAAAAACTGGCAATTTCGCGCTTACATTTAAGGCAATGTTGATGGCTTTCTTAAAACAGCGCTAATTTGCCATTGTGTTCACGTTTTCAACAGAAATGATTGTGATTGGCCAAGAAGGTCATCAGTTCACCCACCGCTGTATACTGAGCACAAACACAGACGAGCCAAGCGATCTGCTTGATGACTCGACTGATCTTGAAGGCTGCTTCGCGCTCCAGTCCGTGTATCTGTGTTTGCAGGAGCGGTAAACTGAGTGCAAACCAAACACAGATACACGGAGACATAAGCGCGAAGCCGTGAAGATCAGTCTTGTCGAGACATCCGCGCTCAGCAGCGCTTCCATGTTAGGGGGAAATAGCTGGGTTTAAAACTTCAGTACCAGGACAACACTATTACAGACATTATATTCTTCCCACCGCAGCCTCGCTTTGGTTCTTTAAAATGGCAGCCGCGTGAAATAAGCGTATTGAATTTACTAATGAAGTCTTTATTCCACATTGCAGAAATGAGGTAGATAAGCACTAAAAGGTTGTAAGAACATATATTTTAAAGGCGGCACAGAGGCTCAGTGGTTACCACTGTCACCTCACAGCAAGAAGGTCGCTGGTTCAAGTCCCAGCTGGGCCAATTTGCATGTTCTCCCCATGTTGGCATGGGGTTCCTCCGGTTTCCCCCACAGTCCAAAGACATGCGCTATAGGTGAATTGAATAAACAATAAATGTGGCCGGAAGGGCATCCTCTGTATAAAACATAAGCTGGAATAGTTGCCAGTTCATTCTGCTGTGGTGACCCCTGATAGATAATGGACTGAGCAGAAGAAAAGTAAATGAATGAATAAACAAAGATATTGGTGCATACACTCTTACTATACATCTAGTATTCAACACTTAGATTGTTAAATTGAGTTCAGACAGCAAGCGTTCAGAGTCAAACAGCTTTCATAGAGCCTTTCCAACATTGCATATTTACAGGCCATAAAGGCAAAAATGGCAGAGCTGCGTCCGCTAATCCCCGTCCTGGAGGAGTACAAAGCTGACGCTCGACTGGTCCAGCAGTTTAAGGAGGAGGTGCAGAATCTGACTGCGAGTCTCGGCCTCCTCCAGCAGGAGATGGGAGCTTATGACTATGATGACCTGCACTCCCGCGTGGTCAGTCTGGAGGAGCGGCTGCGAGCATGCATGCAGAAACTCGGTAAGACATACACACAGAGTCAACATACAGCCAACAAACAGGTCTTTGTTTACTGATTATGCTCACCTGTGCCTTGTTTGGTTTCTCCTTTAATTCTGTGTAATTATTCTCCCTGTTTGGTTTAGTTCTTGGTTCATTTTTGTTGATCTATAGTGTGGTTATTGTTCTAGGTTTTTTTTTGGTGCAATTTATTATTTTATTGTGGAATTTATTAGACATAGAGTATACACAATTCCATGTCTTAACTGTTGTTAATAGAATGAGTTTGCGATTCTACAAATAGTAATATCAGTGATGTTTTTAGACCATAATTTAAATAAATTGCTTCTAATTTAATTTATATAATTTCTAAATTGGCTTTTTAAATGTTATTTATATTAATGCTATTCATGACAGTTTTATGCCACAAATGTTGTTAATTGGAGTCAACAAACATGCATTTTACTTAATAGGCTTTTCCCAGATGATACACTATTCTGTATTGAATTTTTCTGGTCATAAAAATTCCAGTTTTAGTGCAAAAATAGTCCAATTAACAACATTTGTGGCATAAAATTGGCACAAATATGAATAAAATAAAAAAATTCCATATAAAAATTCCATGAATTAAATCAGAAGCAATTCATTTAAATTACCGTTCAAAAACGTTAGTGAGCTACACAAAAACAATATCTTATATACTACTTAAATGTCGCTTTATTAAACTGTAGAATTACATTTGATGACGAAGCAGAGATCAAGGTCTCATAATTACACTCGAATGTGTAAAAAAAAAAAAAATTTCCATGAATCACAAGTAGAGTTGCACGGATATGGATTTTTTGGCCGATATCGATAACCGATAACTTCTCAGATTTGGTGGCGGATAGCCGATATATATATATATATATATATATATATATATATATATATATATATATATATATATATATATAGGCTGATAAATATAAATATTTCAAAACGGTATACTTTTTCTACAGTGAAAAACTGAGAAAGATTGTACTGATCTTATGAACTGAATCGTCTATAGGGTTGGGCCGATAAATGATGCCATCGTCCATCGCCGATGGCTAGGCCCACACGGAATCTGCGCATGCAGAATTTTAGCCTATCAATAATTCTGTTTATTTACTTGAGTAAATGTGTGTAAATCTATAATTATTTAGTTTTTTTTATTAATTTTAGTAATATTATTGACTAATATGAAAATATTCATCTGATTTATTTACAATGCAGTTTGTACAGTCATCTTTTCTGTCTTTTAGTAGAGAAATTATTTAAACGACTTGCTTTGTTTACCAAATAAAGTAAATCTAATTGGATTTGCATTTTAAACATTAAGTTAAAAAGATATTATTTTTTTATTTTACAAATTAAGGTTTTAGTTATGATACCTCAAAAATAATTTCGCAGAAATCCGCAGAATTTAACAAAATTCTCTGCAGAAATAGCAAAAATGTCCACAGATTCCGTCTGGCCCTACCGATGGCTAGGCCCACACGGAATCTGCGCGCGCAGAATTCTGCAGATTTTCCTGCAGAATTCCACAGATTTCTGCAGATTTTTAGCCCATTATTAATTCTGTTTATTTACTTAAGTAAATGTGTAAATCTAAATTTATTCAGTTTTTTTTCAGTAATTTATTACTTTTTATTTAATATATTAAGGTTTTAGTTATGATACTCCGCTGGATACTCCCAAAATAATTCAGCAGAAATTCGCAGATTTTTACGAAAATTCTCAGCATAAATAGCAAAAATAGTCCGCAGATTCTGTCTGGTCCTACCGATGGCCAATAGACAACACGATGCTGAGCCGTCATCGCCGATGCTCCACCCCACCCCCGTCGCAAACCTGCTCGCGAAAAATACACACTCAGGCCCTGTTTACACTAATACGTGTTAGTGTTAAAATGGCATTTTAGAATGAAACAGCCCTCTGAACAGCCCTCCATCCGCTGAAAACGCACATCACGTGACCACATACAGACACAAGTGGTGCTCACTGCAAAACCACACACACAGCCACGCGCTCCTCTGAGCTAGAGACAGAGAGCAGTGCACATCTTTATCAACGTTGTACCCCTGGATCGCGTCTCACTACATTTGCTAAATGTGATATTGAGACATACCAAGTCTCCTAGATATTCCGGGAGTCTCTATGCATTTGCGGGACTCAAAATGCCTGGATAATCTCCCGGAAATCACGCGTCTTCCTCCCGGTCCTCAAATAGGTCACGCACCCTTCTCAACCCCGGATTCCTCCCTGCTCTTCAGACACATCGCCAACCCTGTGTTAGACACAATCGTGTTACAGTATTGTACATATGTACATATATATGATGTCTAAAAAAAAAAAAAACGTTTTGAGAGGTATTTTGGCAGTTCAGAGCCACCGTACAAGCGAAAAGCTAAATACAGATAGCATGTTTTACTTTAGAAAATGTGGAATAGATTCATCGTATTTGGCAATTTAGATTCTTTTTAACACATGTTGGTGCTGCTTGTCAGTCAGATAACTCTTTTATGTTCGTTCTTGCTGTCAATTGCGGGAAAAATGATCGATGAAAAGTTTATGATAAACCGCTTTGAGTTTCACTCAACTGCAGGCGCAGATTTGTCCTCGGAGTAAGATTTTGATACAAACTTGAGCATTGAGCACAGATGACTTTATGACAAACACACAGCAGAATATAAAGACAGAATGTGGCGGTGAGTTGAGAACCCCTTTGCTAGATTCAGTGACTGGCACCCCTCTCCCCCTGCTGCTGTGAAGGCTGTAAGACCATTTAAAGCAAAATACACAATAAAACTCAATCAAACATGGCTACAATGATAAGGAATATGGTTACTTACTGAGATATTAACGCACAGCAATACCACAACAAGAAAGGATGGACTTTCAAGGAATAGACAGTGTGAGGAAAGCTCATTATAGTGCACTGGACAGGACTGAACAACTTCCACCCACGCATGCGTGAGGCAGGCAGTTCTGTATAATTACATAACTTATTGGCTTTAAGATGTCACCTAATTTTGACATCGGACCGATAACGATAAGTTTAAAAATAGCATTTATTGGCCGATAACGATATGGCCGCCGATATATCGTGCATCGCTAATCACAAGCTACAGGCAACTAAAATGAACAGATGTTTTTCAGAGCAACCTTACATCTCAAATAATATATTAAAACAGAAGATCAAATGTTTGTTTTATATCAAATTTGTAATATCACCAACAATATCTACCAACAACAGTAAAGACAAGGAATTTTGCATAATCTGTGTCTAAACTAAACAAAAAATAACTACATGCACCAAAAAAAAATAAGAACCACACTATAGATCAACAAAAATGACCAAGAGCTAAACCCGACAGGGAGTATAATTACACAGAATTAAAGGAGAAACCAAACAAGGCACAGGTGAGCGTAATCAGTAAACAAAGTCAATCTCAGAAACCAAAGAAACCAAAACTAAACATGGAAACCAAAAGAAAATCTCAGCTTAAATGTTTTTAAACACAGACTGTGACAATTTGACCAACTATAGAACTTCAGAACATTGTACCCTTTTGCTGTAATTGTGTCGCTGTGTTACATTCATTTCAAGAGTTCACACTTAGATAATGCTTGACTATTTAAGCAAGTCTGGCATGCTGTTCCAGGAGAGAACCCTGAGCTTGGAGATAGATGAGCCCAAGGCTCCCGTCTGGTCGATAAGCATTAGCAGGGATATGAAATCAGGTAGTTCTCGATAACTTCCTAAGAATAGACCGCTAACTGCACTAGTTTGTAGTAAGTGCTAGTGACTTTAACTTTTGTTGCATGCTTCTTTTGAGTGTGGGAGGAAACCGGATCATCCAGGAAAAACCCACACGAACAGTGGGAGAACATGCAAACTCCGCACAGAGAGTGTCGGTTGGCTCAGCTAGTGTTTGAACCAATGACCTCCTTGCTGTGGGGCAACAGTGCTAGCCACTGAGCCATTGTGTCGCCCGAACTTAGTATTGAGGAGGAGGGAAAAGGGATGGATGGATGGGGGGGGGTAATGAAGTTTATGTTCTGGGATCTGGGATCTGGGATATTTATATTGAATTTAGAGTGATCAGATTGGCTAGTTAGTGATTAGTGATAGGGATCAGCTGTAGTCAATCCTATTACGAGCTCCTCTCGAAATTTTAGTTCAAGAAAGTTTAAGAAGCTTCACTTAAAATATTTAACGATATAACACAATGCTTACTTTTACTGAACCTGGAATATAAAGAAAACTTGCATTTTACAAGGTTAATACAAGTATTAAAGCAATCTTTTCTCATTGAAGACATTGCCCAAAAGTGTCTTTGTCAGATTAGACTACTCAAATTGTACAAATGCATCTCAAAGAACCCTACCCAAGCACAAACATTTTATTAACTCATAATTACCCATTTTAACATCACAATTGTGAGAAAAAAAGAGAGTTGCAAAACATAAAGTCAGAATAGTTGTATCATTAGTCATATTAATTGTTATAGAATAATTATCACTCAGAAATTTATTAGCAAATGTCAAAAATATGAAATCAGAAATAGTACTTTATTTTACTGTATGTATTCTCACTGTATGTAAACCATTCTCTCATTTGAGTCTATTTTTGTGTAATCACAAACATCTTAGACCTAGCTGGTACAAAAATGAAGCATAACTGAGAACTCAGCTCAGGTCTCTGGAGTTATTAAAGAATAAAATTATGCATTCACCATCACAGCTTCTACTTCCCAGCATCCACACACATTGCTTCTTTTCTCTGCTGTGCGTCATCTTTCTCTCTTCTTCACACAGAGTTTCTAGAGGAGAAATCTGGGCCAGTTTCACTGTACAATCAATACAGCTTTAAAACCACTCTGATTTATCTTGCTGTTTCACACACACTTGAGCTTCATCCATGTGCATAGCTTCTGATAAATATAAAAGCCACACACATCAGCTTCACATATTTTCCCTTGCACAATTTCATCCCATGGTGTGACATGAATGAACTTGTTCCTTGCTGTACTTTCCTGAGCAATCAGACTTGTGCCACCCCTTACATTTTCATCAGAAAGGTAAAAATCTACGGGCACATCTGATTTCAATTCAAATATAATCCTTGAATGCCATTTTGATGCAATCACATGAGATTAAATAAAAACACAATCGACATTTGAATTTTTCATGTTCCCACATGTTCTCATATAAATTCATGTGGGTTTTTTTCTGTATATTGATGACGATCAAGACATGCATTGTTCTGTAATATTGTGTTTCTCTGCAGATGTGTGTGCGGCGTTTGCAGAACAAGAGAATCAGGGTTTTGTTCTAAAGATAGTAGAATAATAACTTAGGCCTGTATTTCCCTACAGACAACAGATTACAGCTCAGTATGTTAATCTCACGTACATGTGTTTGCGTGTGTGTGTGTGTGTGTGTGTGTGTGTTGAATAGGGGAGGTTAAGCAGGAAAACACACACACATTTATTACACTTACTATTAACACAACTACAATATCTTTAAATCCAGCCATTTAAATAATGTATTTTAACAGCAGAACCAGCGTAAGTGTTTTTATAAGAATTATCATTAAAGTTTTTTTTATTATTATTAAATAAAGAATTACACATTGGCCTGAACCACACATCAATTTTAAAACCATACACTAGAACAGTAAAACTGGACTAAGAATTAAAGTAAAAATTAGTATGAAACTTGGTGTTAAAGGAGAAACCAAACAAGACACAGGTGAGCATAATATGCAAGCAGAAAAAAACAAAGAATCTCCTGAAAAATCATGAAATCCAACAAATTTATTACAGGAACCACATAAAATCAAGGTCCATCCATCCATCAAAATAATATATTTTAAAAGCAGACCTAGCATAAGTGTTTTTATAAGTGTTTTAGAAATTAAACAAAGGATAGCACACTGGCATGCTCCACACATCAATTCTTAAACCACACAGCCGAACAGCAAAACTGACCAAGAACTAAAATGGAAAGCAGTATGAAACTCAGTGTTAAAGAAAAAAAAAACTATTTACAGAAGGCAAATAAAACCAAAGTCTATCCACCCACCCAACTAACCCACCCATCCATCAATCCATCCAATCTATTTTAAAAGCAGATGTAATGTATGTGTTTTTATAATCCATTTCAATGTGGTGATGCCATTGGCCCATGAACATGTCCTGCTTGTTATCAAACTATTCCATAACTGTAACGAGGCAATTCAATCCTAACCTAACGTTAAAACAGCTTTTATAGCATTATTTATCAATATCTTTTTGGATTCTCGGAAGCTATACAAATTGAAAATGCATGACCGGAAATACGTTGGGACCATTGTTTTTGTTTACATCCCTCAAAATGGTCAATAGGGTGTTTCTAAAACTAAACAAAGAATAACACACTGGCGTGCACCACACATCAATTCTAAAACCACACACTAGAACAAAAAACCTGACCAAGAACTAAAACAAAAAGGAGTATGAAAATTAAACTGTATAAAACAATTTGTAAACATAAAATCAAAGGATCTGCTGAAAAATCATAGAATCAAACAAACTAAATATAGGCACCAAATGAAATCAAACTACATCCTTTCATCCAAGTAATGTATTTTAGCAGCTGAACTAGTGTAAAATCGACCCAGAAATAAAACAAAAAGGAGTATGAAAACACTGTGTTAAAGGAGAAACCAAACAAGGCACAGGTGAGCATAATTAGTAATCATAGAAATAAAGGATCACCCGAAAAATCAGAGTTCAACCAAACCAAAATAAATACCCCCCCAAAAAATGTATATATATTATATGTCTCCATTTATCCATCCATCCATCCATCCATCCATCTATCCATCCATCCATTATCTATTCCATTCCAAGTTGACTTTAAGAACTAAACGTGAGGTGAAATAGAGGTAATAATTAGTGTTTTCCTCGCTCTTTATAGTCAGAGTTCATAACGAAGCTCAGTCAGTGTGACTCAATTAAACTCATTTAACCAGAACCTTCACTCTAAGATACAAGATTACCACAGTCATTATGACTGAATCAGACTCATCATAACATTACAGAATTAAATCTCCAAACTCATTAGACGTGTGACAATTGGTCTCTGATATGAAAGAGTGTGTGTGAGTATATTCATGTATGTGTCTAATTAAATGTGTGTTGTGTGTCCTGCAGCATGTGGTAAACTGACCGGCATTAGTGATGCAATCACTATTAAAACATCCGGGTCCCGCTTCGGATCCTGGATGACGGATCCTCTCGCTCCTGAAGGAGACACTAGGGTGAGTGTTAATGCCCAAACAAGTACATTTGTTACACTCTGGACTATTTTCTTATTGTCCAAATGAAAACATATACTATTGTTTCAAAATTTGCATTGGATTTTTTTTTTATTTTTTTTATAAATCTTAAGCTCAACTGATTCCCAAAGCTCCATGATTTAGATTAGTGTGATTATTATTGTGATTGTTTATTTTTCAGCTTTCTATATATTGAAAAGCATTTTATTCCAGTGTTACTTATTTCCAGCAGCCTTAAGTGTCACATGATTAATCAGAAATCAATTTAATATGCACATATGCTCATCAAAAAAAAAAATTATTATCATTAAAAACAGTTCTACCTAATATTTTTTATGGAAACTGTGATACATTTTTCATGCATTTTCAACATTTGCATGTATCTCTTAGTATTTGGTAATAAGCACAACACTAATTTCTGTGTGTAGGACGTACATACAGGATTCATTTCTGAGATTCATTAACATTCTGATAGCGGAGATCAGATTATTTTTATGCCCGCAGTAAAAAACCCATGAGCACATAGCTCACGGCAATCACTTCATAAAGAATCAAATACACAGAAAAACAAACCTCAAGGCCGAGCCATCTTATACAAACGCAGATATATTTACACGAGGAAAACTCAGATAGGTCATCATATACAGTTGAAGTCCGAATTGGTAGCCCCCCTGAATTATTTCCCCCCTGTAAATTTTTCCCCCAAATTTTAGTTGAACAGTTTAGTTTAGGAAAGAAGATTAATCTCAAGCAAAGTTGTAGTCAGAATTATTAGCCCTCCTGAATTATTAGCCACCCTGTATATTTCCCCCCATTTTCTGTTTAACAGAGAGATTTTTTCAACAGATTTCTGAACAGAATAGTTTTAATAAATCATTTCTAATAACTGATTTCATTATGTTTACCGTGATGACAGTACACAATATTTTGCTGGATACTTTTCCAGATATTCAGCTTAAAGTAACATTAAAAGGCTAAATTTGGTTAATTATGCAAGTTTTGTTAGAGTAATTAGGCAAGTCATTGTATAAGGATGGTTTGTTCTGTAGACAATCTAAATATTGCTCAAGGCAAATAATATTGACCTTTAAATGTGTTTAAAAAATTAAAAACTGCTTTTGTTCTAGCCGAAATAAAACAAATAAGACTTTCTCCAGAAGAAAGAAATATTATAGGAAAAACTGTGGAAAATTCCTTGCTCTGTTAATCATCATTTAGCAAATATTTAAAAAAAGAAATATTCACAGGAGGGCTAATACTTTTAATTACACACCACACAAAATAGAAGTTAAGTGGCACAATAAAATTATTCACCCATCAAACATTTCAGAAAGCATAATATAAATATTATAAATAAATATTATAGCCCTATGCTGTAGAAGATTCAATTTATTTTCATATGGAAACAAACAAAAAATAAAAATAAACATTAACTTTTTTATTAAGCATATTACTTATAAGTAATGTTATTTATACATTTTTAAAATACTATAATATAAAACTAATTATATTGTACATGCTAGTTTATATTTATAAAGCAATTGCTTTTTAATTACATCAAATTAATAAATAACAGATCAATACTAATAATTTTTTTGTAACAGTTATTGTTTTCTGAGTCTACTTTTAATTAGGTAAATACTATAAATGTTTTATTCACTGCATGTTTGCACTTAATAACAATAATAATAATATAATATTAACCTTTTTTTTTCAGAAAACTATTTTAAAAATATTTCCAATTGTGCCGTTGACTTTGAATTTTTTTCTAGATGTCCGTAACAACCAAAGAAATCCATATACGCAAAGAAAACTAAACTAATTAGATTACAAATGAAATGATGTGTAATAAAACACAATGAAATGACGCAGGGAAAAGTATTGAACACATGAAGAAAGGGAGCTGTAGAAAGGCAGTGAAGGCCCAGACAGCAGCTGAAATCTCTCAGTAGTTATTCAGCAACCCTCTGCTCTTTGTCATTGTAAATGGATATTAGCTGCTTCAGTCCAACATCTACATTAGCAGATGATGAAGATGAAAGCAGGGTGGACATTTAAGCAAGACAATGATCCAAAAGGAAACTCTCAATGCTTTCAGAAAAAGAAAATCAAGCTGTAGAATGGCCCGGCCAATCACCTGATCTGAATCCAATACAAAATATAAATATAAAGATCAGATTTAATAGACCCACAGAACCATCCTGATTTTTGTACTCTGTTGAAGTCTGTCAAAAATTCACACCTGAGCAATGCATGTGACTTCATTCTCCATATGAGAGGAGTCTTTAAGCTGCCATCAAAAAAAGAATTTTATTAAGGTATTAAAGTATTAAGTATTAAATACGTTTCAGAAGTTCAGTACTTTCTTCTTGTGTCATTTCATTGTTATTACACAGAACATTGTTATTTTTATGCTTGTATTGTTGGGGTTTTACTAAGATCTGGTTCAATTCCGTGTCAACCGTTCCTGTAGTTATATTATTCCCAGGAAAAAATAGGACGTGTCCTATTTTCCCCGCTGTATATTAAAAATAATTAGCTTTTAAATTATTATTATTTTATTTATTTATTTTTTACAAGTTTTCAAAAACAATTTCTTTCAGGATCTAAATATAGTATAGAATACTAAATACAAAAATTAATGTGTGAATAAAACTTCACTAAACATAATATATCACACCTCCCATGAAATAAATCACAACAAGCTTTGTATTGTCGCTTTTGATAAAAAAGGTCTCATGTTTCAAATTCCATAAATTTTTTTTTTCAGAAATCACAAACAATAAAATGCCATTTTGAGGCTCTTGTGGCAGATATTAATGCATACATAATTCAGCTATTTTTAGAAACAGATGCTAAAAGCAATTTTATAGCTTCTTTAATCTCACGCTGCACCAAAAACATGTTAAAATAGTAAAGTACGGACTTGAGAAACAACGTACATACTGATCAGTCGTTTTTACAATCCAGTACACCCACACTAAAAAAAATAAAAAAAATAAAACCAAGCAGTTGATATCAAGCATTATTTGTTGTTGGACAGCTGTAGAGTTTAAGGCAGGTCACTAACACTCACAGCAGCACGAGGGGGAAATAAGCAAAGCCAAATCATTTTCCACTCATCCAGTCATGAAGTGCTCCAGTGGGGCTCGTAATGGAGGGTCTTCTGATATCAGCTGGAGGTTAAAACCCCACACGCTGCTGTACGGATGAGAGATAGATGCTCCTAAAGACCTCTCTGTACAAGCTCGTTCAAAGCCTCATCGTTTCTCAGACATTTGCGAAAGAGTGATGGAGGTTTTAGGCTTTGTGATCTCATGCAAAGTTGAAGTCAGAATTATTAGCCATCCTGAATTATTAGCCCCCCTTTATATATTTTCCCCCAATTTCTGTTAAACAGAGATTTTTTTAACACATTTATAAACATAATAGTTTTAATAACTCATTTCTAATCACTGACTTTTTTTATCGTCGCAATGATGACAGCACATAATATTTGACTAGATATTTTTCATGAGACTAGTATTCAGCTTAAAATCACATTTAAAGACTTAACTAATTAAGTTGAATAAGTTAGGGTAATTACCCAGTTAGTAAAAATCATGTGGCTCAAATCCAGCCCACACCAGACACTTATATCCGGCCCACATACCGCATGGACTGATGGCAATTGGGCGGTCCGCTCCTGTTTGCCAGATCTTGGCCACAAATAAGCCATAGCAGTATCCCATATCAGCCAGAATTCAACTAAATGTACCAGAACTGACCATATTGCTTGTATTCTGGCCCAGATGCGGCCCCCACCAGACACTTACATCTGGACCACATGCTGAATGGAATGATGGCTCTAGGGCGGTCCACTCCTGTTTGTCAGATCTGGCCTACACCTTACACTTGCTGGGTGTGGCAACATACAAAAAATCCAAGCATGCATTGCAATATGAATTCATTCTATAGCAGTGTTTCTCAACTGGTGGGTCACGACCCAAAAGTGGGTCACGGGAACATTTTCAGTGGGTCGCAGGGTGTGTGGGCAAAAAAAAAAAAACTACAAAAGTAAAATTTTTTACTTATTTTGCTTATACCGGACTTTTATTTTGAAATGCGTGCACGACAACCCTACCATTTGACATGTGAAATTTCATTTAATTATAGCAACAAATATGTCGAAGCGCAAGCACGACCCCGAATATGTAAATTATGGATTTACATATATTGACGACAAAAAAAGTCTCAGTGTCATATGTAGTGAGGCGCTCTCACAAAAGAATTCGAAATTAAAACGACATTTAGAAACCAGACAACATGTTTTATTAACAGTTCAGTTTAGTTCATGGTAACTGAACCTTCCTTTACCCTATAACCGCTGTTTACAGTATTTGTCGTTTTTACTTTGTAATATTTCTATAATTTGATACATTTCATTAAATGACAGCAATAAAATATTGTTTTTTTTGTAAGTCTTGGTGAGTTTCTTATAATTTTCTGTCACTACTTGTTTATGTTAACAAATAAATACAAATTAATTATAATTCCTAAAATTGTATTATAGTTCCTAAAAATTTAGGTTTCGGCTTGATGACCATGTTAAAATGTGGGTCCATTGGCCAAACAAGTTGAGAACCACTGTTCTATAGCTTATTAATGCTCCAGTTTTCATTATTTGCTTTTGATTCTGCTGTTTATGTTGACGTTGTTGATTTCGTCACTTTTAGTCTCCTGTTTTTGAGTTTTGTTCATTTTGTTAATTGTCACCGTTGTTAAGGTTTATACGCTGATTATTGATGTCTCTGTGAGCAGAAGTTGAACTATAGCATTTTTTTTTAGCTTATAAACCAGCCGCTTTAGGCTCACAGCCACATTAGCCAGAGCTAACTGCCAAATATTTGCCAAAAGTGGCCCACATTTGTTTTAGGATAACTGGGCCACATTTGCCATATCTTCTCTTGGCCACTATAGGCTAAATTCCACATTAGCCATAG